CATAATATAATTTAATGATATCACCAGTTGTCACCATAGTAACCGTGTATTAATCATTAATAGGAAATTCAATGCCACATGTTTTAATAGAATTTTCACCAACCATTTGTCAGTACAAATGATCTCTTGGTTTGAAACATAACTATTGGTCATAGAGAGAAACATGGTATCACATATGTCTCAGTAAATTCCCTCTCATAATACGTACCATTGTCATTATAACTAGAGCTGGGTATATGGGCTAAAGCCCGCGGGCTATCCGTTTAACCCGCGATCCGTGCGAGTTTCGGACCTCAAAAATTAAAGATCGTTTAAATTACAGGCTTTTTAGCCCAGATCGTTAAACCCACGGGTTTAATGAGTATAACCGCGGGCTACCCGTGAAACCCGCTAAAGCCCGCTTAATTTAAAATTCATAAAATTTTAGATAAAATAAACTTAAAGAATTTTATAGAAAAAGAAAATAAATTACCTATAAATATGATGTTACTTATAATTATTGTAGTTCTTAAATTTATTAGGGTGTTTGTCATAATTTTACCGCTGTTTGGTATTTTTTTCATTTAAATATACATCATTATCATTTTGGTATTTAAAGATTTTTTTATTTAATTTTGACCTTTATTTTTTTCATGAAGTATGTTATCCATTTTGTTCTTTAATTATAAAAAGTCACGTGATATTCTAATAATATATCACATGACACGTAATATTTGGATTAAAAATAAGAAAGAAAAGTAAAAGAAAAAATTGAAAACATACTTTTTCAACATTTAAAGATTTTTACAAAATAAATATATTTTAACAAATTAATTACTTATATTTTATCAATTTTAGTATAATTGTATCTTTCAAATTTACTCTTATACTGTAAGTATTTTATTTTATATTTTCATATTATGTTTTAGTCTTTCTCTAAAGTATCCATAAAATACAATTATTAGGATCACTTGACAACTTTCTTGTTAGATTTGTATAATGTTTGACTTTGTTGAATTTTTATGTTTGAATTTCTGCTTTCAGAATTCAGACACTTCTGTGTCTTCATATTATAGCATTGAATAATCGTGTTTTATAAAAGTGTAATGTGGTTATTGTTTTATTTGTTTTTCAATTTGGTGATATAAGTGAATATTGTTTTTTTAATTTGAGTTTAAATAATTATATCATTATATATATATGTGTATTAATGATTAAAAAATTTAAAAAAATATTATTTTATAATCATTTCCGGCTATTTAAAATAAAAATTAAATATTATTTATTATTTTGACGGTACTACCTTCCTTTTCAAGTTATTCGATCATTTTTGAAAGGTGTAGTAAGTTAAAACATTATTTTTTATTGCATTTAAAGCATTTAAAATTATTTTTATTAAGCGGGCCGCAGGTAAGCCTGTTTAGCCCGCGGGTTAAATGGACGGGCCGCGGGCCTTAAAATTCAAAACCGTTTATGAATGCGGACTTTTTAACCCGCTCCATTTAAGCCTGCACCGTCAAAACCCGTGGGCTAAACGGACGGGTAGCCCCCTATACTCACCTCTAATTATAACAGTCAAGTCAAATATCATGGATATCCGACATTCATTATCACATACAATCACAACATGCATAGGGTTTTATAGGCTACACATACCAACCATTACATCATAAGGCCAATCAATGTAGCTAGCGAGTTCATTCTCTCTTTCTCTCGTTACTACTTTACTCGTTCTCTCGTATAGAACATTATGTAATGGTAATTTAATCTTTTAATTTTTTATGTATGTATAAGGCATTAAATATTATCTCTATCTATATGATACACTACTCCCTTAGAACATTACTCAATTTGATATTAATTATTCATTAATAAATTGCTACACGCATTTGTTTTCACTTTCCCACAACCTACGAAAAGGCTTGGAGATTTGGCTCACAAATCATTGCTTATTCAATATTCACATGGTAAGCGGTTCCTCTAGTACATTATTCGTGTAGTACATCATCTTACTTATTAGTATCCAGTCTATAATGATCCATCATCGATTTATCACTCTTTTTTATACGAGTACATTTAAGGGTACTTTTATAGTTTCTTACTCATCAAGGATATTTTGATTATTTTATAAATTAGGACCCTTTTCCAAACTTTTTTTTGTACACTTCATAAAAATCTATAGGTATTCAGATGCAATGAGATATGTTTCTAATCTTTCGATGCTAGAGACTATGGATACTCAATCGAGGAGTATGAATGCTCAATAGAGAGTATATGTACTTGGGTATCGATATCAAGCTAAGAGTATTGATAATGAATGATGGTATTGGTACCAAAAAAGGCCTTGAAGTTTCCTGATATTGATACCCAACCCTCAATAACGATATCATATGAACAATATCGATACTACATGCATATTTTAACTAATCTTTTTCACAAATTCATCCGATATTAATATTGTTTATCAAGTATCGATGCATAAACCTAGAAATATCTATTTCTAAGCTCAAGAATCACTCTAGTTTAAGCCTAAATTGATTCTTAAAGCTTAAAGGAGTTTTCTAGGATCATTTAGCACCCTAAAAACACTTGTTGCAACACCAAAATATTACACAAGGCATAAATCATGCAAAAACATCCAACATGCTTAAATTCTCAAATTCACAATAATGCATCACATTTATAGCAGGTGTAACATAAAAAAAGCTAAAAGTACAGTACTTAGAAGCTAGAATCATGAAATGAAACTCATTTCTCAACTACACTTACTTTATTCTTCAAAAAGGTCACAATCTTCAACCTCTTTATCATTAACAAATGGTTTACCCATAAACGAATCTAGCTTCTCCACCTGTTTAATGGGGTTTCTTTAATATCTTCTTATTTCAAAGACAAATCCTTGTCTGTTTAATGGGGTTTCTTTAATATCTTCTTATTTCAAAGACAAATCCTTGTCGGGGATTCAAAACTCTAGTTCCAGTATTTTAAAACGTAGTCGAAGAATGACCCGAAGTGGAAAACACTATTCACTACAGCAAAACAGGGTTTTAGAGGCATTTTTTAGTCCTATAGCAGCATTTTTAAGCGCCGCTAAAAGCACTGTGGCGATAGGAAAAGCGTAGCAAGAAGCGCCGGCTATACCAACGCCGTTAAAGTTAGCGGCGTTTGAGAACAAAAAACGCCGCAATAGGTTAAGATCTATCGTGGCATTTTTGGAACAAATGCCTCAAAATGTCGATATCTATAGCGGCGTTTTGGAACAAACCCCGCAAAAGTTCGATATATATAGCGGCATTTTTGGAACAAACGTCGCAAAAGGTCGAGATATATAGCGGTGTTTCAAAAAACGTCGTAAAATATCATATCTATAGCGGTGTTTTTAGAATAAACACCGCAAAAAGTCGAGATCTATAACGGCATTTTCGGAATAAACGCCGCAAAAGGGCTCATGATAGGAAAAAAAGAACCATTAATATTGAAGACTAGATGACAAAACATTTTTGATTCTAACACTACATTCAAAATAAGTGTTCAAATCAGAAAATAAAAAATGATAAGTAATTCATGTCAAGCTTTTATAGGCTTCAATAATAAATTATAAAGAAAATTAGGAAATATTTACAGTGGAGTATTCCATGGAAAATATTAGATTATCAATACAATAAGAATAACAAAAACTATTAACCAATTTCCGCACTTCTGCTGCAGATGGGCATAGTTGCAGAGGAATGCCAAGTCTTGTATTGTTGATAGTGCATTCTCTTCTTGCAATCTAAATGAATTAAAGCCAATATCATAGCACACATGATATTAAATTCAACGTTTTGGACACCCTCTTGCTCCATATTCTCTTAACCTGCTGCAGCCACTTCATATAATGATAAATCTATTCATTAAACACCAAAAAGCCTTCCTGGAAAAGTATTGTCCGTCTCTCAATTGCTAAGAAACCCTACTCATACTCAACCACTGTACACACAGAACCAAGTTCTTATCGGAAACTCCTGGAGAAACTTTAACCGAGTTCTTAATGGTGCACACCATTACCATTGCTGTACACACCATTTAATGATCCATTGGCAAACTTGAAACAGTTCACGTTTTGCCAGACATTTAGATTTGCTTTTCCGGTATTTACCCCGTTTGTCACTCCGTTGCTTACATGATCAGACTTGTTTAAGAACAATTCCAATTGCCCACATGATGCGGCGATGAGTAGGGATGTTCATTTTTCGGTTTTAACCGAATTAACCGATCGAATCGAATTAGTTCGGTTAATTTGGTCAGTCACCGAATTAGTTAATTTTTTTAGAATTCGGTTAACGGTTAATTCGGTTCGAAATCGGTTAATTAACCAAAATTAAATTTTAAATATTAAATATATTATATATAACATATGGGCTCAGCCCAAACTATTTAAAACCCAATTAATAATTTATGATCCAATAACTTTTCAACCTAAATCAATATTAATTAATTAAAAAATCCATATAAATTTTTTATTTTATAATTATATATTATTTAAATTAATTGTAATTTTTTTTGAATTAAAATTTTTTCAATTTTTATATAATTTAGAAAATTTTAAAAAAAATCGGTTAATTCTAAAATTAACCGAAATTTATTCGGCTCGGTTAATATTTAAAAAAAAGTTCGGTTGGATTAACGGTTAAAAGAAAAAAAGTTCGATTAATTCGGTTAATGATAATTCGATTCAGTCGGTCACCGTTTTAACCTAATGAACACCCGATGAGTCCTGGACATTTACGAAAATACATATAGTGAGCTTGACAGGCAAAGTTCAATGGATGATTTTTAGGTGTCACTTCATAAAATAAAAGAATAATCATAAGATATAAAACAAGCATAAGCAATCCAACATGCTAGAGAAGTGCCATTATCACAACCCAACAATTCTCTAACCATGTTTTCTGTACTTCAATGCAGATAACGGACTTCAAAAGTCGATTACCTAACATGTTATTCAGAATTAATCCAGGCAACCCTCCATGCTAATAGAGATAAAATAATCTAAATACTAAGCAATTATGCTGCAACCAATATAAACCCTTAATGCCAGATTTTATGGATAAGAACCGGAGAAAAGAGCAGAAGGTTTTCCTGGTCTGGACTTGAATTCAGGATGGAACTGAACACCAATAAAATATGGATGGCTTGGTAGTTCTACAATCTGTATAGTCAACAGACAATGCCCATAACAATCATGAACTAAATATAGAAGTAATGATCAGTGAAACTGTTGAGTGGAGTCTGGGTTTTCATATAGAGATGCTACATTGTAACTTACCTCCATCCTCCTACCAGTTTCATCCCTGCCAACAAACGAGAGACCAGCTGCTTCAAGTTTTGATATCATATCAGGATTGACCTACAAAGGACGAACGTCATTCTTAATAACTTAACATAAACTGTCACTGACAAATAGCATCTAATAGTCCCTTGGATAGTAGACTACCTCGTATCTATGCCGATGTCGTTCATCAACAAAGTTTGCATCACCATACCTAGAATAAACAACCATTAAGAAAATGAAATGCCGCTTAGAATATAACCCCTTAACAATTTCAAGAAGTTTGTAACATCATATATAGGAATTAAGCTTAGAGAGTCGTGTTCTTACAGCTTGGCATATTTGCAGTCAGGAACCTTGAAGTAAGTCCTCCTCGACCCCATACGTATTGTGTTGCAGAAGACGACTATCGAATAGAGCAAAATCACAACTGATAATTTGAGAAAATAAAAATGAAGATAAAAGAGACACAAAATTTACGTGGAAAACCCCTAAATAATATAGGGTAAAAACCACGGGCAACGATAGAAGAATTTCACTATGAGAAAATAGGAATTACAACTCCTCTCGATCTACCAAGGAGAAAACAATGATAATTTTCTCTTGATAAAAAGGAGAAAACAACTCTCAAGAAACTCTCTAAATTCTCTAGTATTGGAAGAAACCTAGAATGCTTTGGGATGATTTTGAAGCTAAATGAGCTAGGGTATTTATAGTTGAAGCTTAAGGACTAATTTGTAAATACCCTAAATTACAATGACTAAAATTGAGATTTTACCATTCAACTTTTTCAACCAAACTTTCGGTGGAATTAATTTGTTTTGTTTTTTCCTTTAATTCTCCACCGAAAGTGGCCATCAATTTGGCCACTTGATGTATTTTCAACAATATCCCACTTGAAGATTTGATTGGACCAATCATATCTTCACACTATTCTTTCTACCTTGTACCTTCATGTTGCTTACGTTTCTGTCAGGCCACAAGAGGATCGACACCAAGTAAATTTATCACCATTGATCGCTTTTGTCATGAAATCTGCTATGTTGTCTTTGGTATGGATTTTCTACATATCTACCGTCCCTTTTTCCACATTTTCACGAATAAAATGGTATTGAACTCGTATGTGCTTAGTCCTTGAATGAAATGCTGGATTCCTTGCTAAATGCAAGGCGCTTTTACTGTTACAAAAACATAGATACATACTCTTGATTGTGCCAAAGCTCCTCCAATAGCATCTTCAACCAAATTGCTTCTTTACTGGCTTGTGTAGCTGCTACATATTCTGCTTCTGTTGTGGATGTAGCCACAACTGACTGCAATTTTGAAACCCAACTTACAGCTCCACCAGTAACTTTGAACACATATCCTGTAGTAGATTTACTTTTATCCAAATCCCCTGCATAGTCAGAATCGACATACCCATTGATAAGTAAGTTTGATCCTCCGTAACATAATGCAACATTTGAGGTCCCTTTAATGTATCTCAGGATCCTCTTTACCGTATTCCAATGTTCTTTGCCTGGATTCGCCATGTACCGACTAGTCACTCCCACTGCTTGTGCAATGTCTGGTCTTGTGCATATCATAACAAACATTAAACTTCCCACTGCTGATGCATACGGTACTCGAGACATCTCCATCCTCTCTTCTTCACTGCTAGGACTTATACTGGAGGATAATTTGAAGTTAATAGGAAGGGGGTAGAAATTGGCTTACAATCTTGCATGCTAAATCGTGACAAGATCTTCTTCAAGTAATTATTTTGTGATAGCCAAATCTTTCTATTACTTCTATCTCAGTGAATATGCATCCCTAGAATCTTGTTTGCTGATCCCAAGTCCTTCATTTCAAATTCTCTAGCCAGTTGTGCCTTCAATTCTTCAATATGATCTTTGTTGGGTCCTGCAACCAACATGTCATCCACATACAACAACAATATAACAAAATCGTTATCACCAGACCTCTTGAAATAAGCACAAGGGTCTACATTAAGTCTGTTGTATCCAAGGCACATAATGAAGGAATCAAATCTCTTATACCAACACCTCGGTGCCTGCTTTAGACCGTACAGAGATTTGTTCAACCTGCAAACCACGTTCATTTTTTCGTCTTCTTCAAAACCTTCAGGCTGGAGCATGTAAATCTCTTCTTCAAGATTTCCATGAAGAAAAGTTGTTTTAACATCTAGCTGCTCTAGATGTAAGTTCAATGTAGCACACATTGCCAAAACTACTCGAACTGTTGTTAGTCGAACCACAGGAGAAAATATTTCATTGAAATCAATACCTTCTTTTTTAGCATATCCTTTGACCACCAGTCTTGCCCGATACCTCTCCACTTGATCATCGCCATTTCGTTTGATTTTGAAGACCCATTTGTTACCAATTGGCTTCCTTCCTTGTGGTAGTGACACAAGGTCCCATGTATTATTTTTATGAAGGGCTTAAATTTCTTCTTGCATCGCCATCATCCACAGTGAAGCATATGAGTTGTTTATTGCCTCCTCGTATGTTGATGGCTCACCGTCCTCTGTTAAAAGGCAGTATGCAATATTACCTTCTATAACATAATCTGAGTGACAATTAGGACGTCTTCTCACACGATCTGATTGACGAGTTGTTGGAGCTTCAGAACTCTCTGGTTCTTGTTCATCATGTACTTGTTCTGCTTCAGAAGAATCTCTTTGTTCAAACTTCTTTTCTACATGTATCTGTGTAGTCTCTGACTTTTCAGCGCTACCATCTTCTTCTTTTCTTTGTAGCTTATCTTCTACAAAGATAACATCCCTGCTAATGATCACTTTGCGGGCAATGGGATCCCACAAACGATACCCCTTTACACCATCAGCATACCCCAAGAATTTGCATTTCCTGGATTTTGGATCTAGCTTTGAAATTTCTTGGGAGTTGTACATCACGTACACAATACTTCCAAATACATGGAGGTTTGAATAATCAGCTGGTTTACCAGTCCACATCTCCATTGGTTTCTTCAGCTCTATTGCAGTTGATGGAGCTCGATTCACCAAATAACAGAGACAGTATTGAATGCTTCTGCCAAGAATGATTTTTCTAGGCCTACATCCCTCAACATTGCTCTTGTTCTTTCTAACAAGGTTTTGTTCATCCGCTCTGCCATTCTATTTTTGTTGAGGAGTGTTTGCCACTGTGAACTGTCTTTTGATGCATTATTTCCTCCAAAAGTCATCAAATTCTTCGCTTGTGTATTCTCCTCCATTATCTGTTCTGAAACACTTGATCTTATTTCCAGAATCAAGTTCCACCCGCGCTTTGAAGTTTTTGAAAGTTGAAAACACGTCTGACTTCTTCGTAATAGGGTACACCCAACATCTCCTGTAGTAATCATCAATAAATGAGAGAAAGTATTTTGCTCAGCCTAGGGATATAACTGGTGCTTGCCATACGTCAGAGTGAACCAATTCTAGAACACTTTTTCCTCTAGAATTTGATGTATTGAATTTTAACCGGTGCTGCTTACTTGTTATGCAATGCTCACAAAACGTAAGTGATATATTCGTTAAGCCTGGAAGTAGTTTTTGCTCCACAAGGACTTGCATTCCTTGTTCTGATATGTGTCCAAGTTTCTGATGCCATAGCATTGCAAAATCTGAACTACATGAGGCAACAGAGGCTTATGCTTCTAGTAATGTCTCTCCCTTCAGCATGTACAAGTTTGCATCTATATTTTTTCCTTTCAGCACCACAAGCGCTCCACGGAACACCTTAATGATTCATTTCCATGTTTCAATCTTGCTTGAATTATTATCCAACAATCCGTAGGATAATAAATTTTTCTTCAGGCCTTTCACGTGCCGCACATCTCGAACAACTTTAATTGTTCCATTATACATCTTCAATTCGATGGTTCCCACACCAACGATCTCTAAGACATGATCATTGCAACTATACACAGATCCTCTTGAGACAAGTTCATAATAATGGAACCATTCTCTTCTTGAGGTCATGTGATATGTTGCTCCCGAATTAATGAGCCATATATCTGCATATCTCTTTCTACCTTCCACAGTGGTTGACGCTTCATAGCATAGTGCATCTCTATCATCTGAAGTGTTTGCGATATTGCCTTGTGGATTAGAGTTTTTATTTAGACTCAAACAATCATTCTTTAGTGACCATTCTTTCCACAGTTGTAGCACTTTAAATTCTTCTTGCTTCTCGACTTTGATCTATCATGTTTGTGACTGCTGCTTTGGCCACATTCCGTTGATCTCCTTCTCATCGTTGTCAACGCTTCTGCTTGTTGCAGATTTACTTGTCTGTCTTCCTTGTTCTTGCGACGATTTTCTTCTTGTAGAACAGCAGCTGTAACATCATCGAAGACTAGACTGGTGACATTACTGTTTATCAAGTTGATGATGAGTTGATCATACGAATCAGGTAGACTTTGACGTATAAGTTCAACACGTTCTTGTTCTCCTATTGTATATCTTAGGGATGTAAGATGAGAAAATAAAGTGTTCAGCGTGTTTAAGTGCTCCGTCACTGAAGTAGATTCTAGCATCCGGAGAGTGTACAATTTCCTCTTAAGGAAAAATTTATTGTGCAACGATGTGACCTCGTACAATTTGGTGAGATGATCCCATATCTCCTTAGCTGTCTTCTTCTCCTCGATGCTTGACAATACTTCATCTGCTAATGCTAGATGAAAGTTCGACATAGAATTCCTGTCCATTTCGATCCATTTGTTGTCATCTGTGAAATCTACCGGCCTTTCATTGATAGCTGCTAGACAACCGTCTTTCCTCAGGATGGCCTTCATCTTCAATTTCCACAATGAGAAATTTCTCCCATTGAACTTTTCAATATCAAATTTTGTTGCCATAACTTCTATTACGGATAGCTCACACTATTTCACTATCGTGAATAGTTCTCTGGAACCTTCAAAGAATGGGTAATACCTTCTTACTTTCTTATGTTGAAGGATCCACCTTTTGGTGGCAACCACAAAGACAATAAGCAGATATTACATACTCAAATCTTGCTCAGATACCAATTGTTGCGGAAGACGACTATCGAATAGAGCAAAATCACAACTGATAATTTGAGAAAATAAAAATGAAGATAAAAGAGACACAAAATTTACGTAATATAGGGTAAAAACCACGAGCAACAGTAGAAGAATTTCACTATGATAAAATAGGAATTACAACTTTTCTCGATCTACCAATGAGAAAACAATAATAATTATCTCTTGATAAAAATGAGAAAACAACTCTCAAGAAACTTTCTAAATTCTCTAGTATTGGAAGAAAGCTAGAATGCTTTGGGATGATTTTGAAGCTAAATGAGCTAGGGTATTTATAGTTG